GAAAGACTTTCCTTTCCTGAGAATCTCTGGGGTGTCCTCATTCTACCCTGGCTCTATTTTGTTAGGTATCCCAGGGGCTGGTCTCCAACTACAAAGCCCAGTTGGGCCAGCCTATCCCTGCCTGTGCAGCTTCTCTCAGCTGCCCCACAGTCTCTGGATGCTGAGGGTCACCCATCCTACCTGCCTTTCTCATCACCGAGCACCAAATCCACCACCCTCTGTACTACTAAAATCAATCCTTGTGCCATGGCCTGGGTTTCTTTCCCATTGGCGAGTGGGGCAATGTACCTGCTCTTCACTTCTATTACCTTGGCCTCTTGAGTAGCTTCTGGCATAAGACTTCATCAACTTCGCTTCCTTATTTAGGGTCCAAGAAGTTGTGACCTGAATACTTGGAACATGAGTGGGCAAAGATGCCCCTTGCCTCCTTCCCACATTCATAAATATCACTAGTCCTTTATGCTCGCAGCTATCTTCCTCTGAACTAGAATTGGGGGGGGGGGATCTCCCCATATGAGTACATATAAAGGGAGGTTTACAAGCACTAGCTTAATGAGTAAAGAATGGCTTCCTTGAACAGGATGTTCTTTTATGGAACTATCCATATGGGATCAAATTGACAATAGCAATTTGAAAGGTAAGATGGGAAATTAGGGGGCCGTGAGTTTAGGTTAAAGGGGAAGGGACAATCTGGAAAAGGGGGGAAATAGTGGCTGCCCAGCCCCTGAGGAATGCAATCAGTGTCACTGGACTGTACTTGCAGGCATTGTAAATGTGATTGAACTCAGGCATCATCAATGTGACTGTACTAACAGACATTGTCAATGTGATTGAACTCGCAGGTATTGTCAATGTGATTGAACTCTCAGACATTGTCATTGTGATTGAACTCGTGGGTATGGTCAAAGTAATTGAACTCGCAGACATTGTCAATGTGATTGAACTCGCAGACATTGTCAATGTGATTGAACTCGCAGACATTGTCAATGTGATTGAACTCACAGACATGGTCAATGTGATTGAACTCGCAGACATTGTCAATGTGATTGAACTCGCAGATATTGTCAATGTGATTGAACTCGCAGACATGGTCAAAGTGATTGAACTCGCAGACATTATTGTGATTGAACTCGCAGACATTGTCAATGTGATTGAACTCGCAGACATGGTCAATGTGATTGAACTTGCAGACACGGTCAATGTGATTGAAATCGCAGGCATGGTCAAAGTGATTGAACTCGCAGACATTGTCAATGTGATTGTACTCGCAGACATTGTCATTGTGATTGTCCTCCCAGACATTGTCATTGTGATTGAACTCTCAGGTATGGTCAATGTGATTGAACTCGCAGGCATGGTCAATGTGATTGAACTCGCAGGCATTGTCATTGTGATTGAACTCGCAGGCATTGTCATTGTGATTGAACTCGCAGGCATTGTCATTGTGATTGAACTCTCAGTCATGGTCAATGTGATTGAACTCGCAGGCATGGTCAATGTGATTGAACATTGCAGACATTGTCAATGTGCTGCTGCTACTGTTGTTGGAGGATCTTCAGCAAAATTTTACCTGTGTGTGAGATCGGTGCTCTTGTTCTATCATTTGAGCATTCTGTTGGGTCACCTGCTTTTGGAGTGGGTACAAATATTACTTTACTCATACTTACTGCATCTGCTAAAAGGACAAACAAGTCTGTCTGGGAAGAAATATAGCCAAAGTGCTCCTTGGAGGATGGTGAGATTTCATCTTAGGTACTTAGGACATGTTGACCAGCCCCTGCAGAAAGGCTCACAGCCTAGCCCAGGCCCCAGGCAGTGGCCAACTGTAGCACTCTGGCCACTGGCCTCCTGTCCCCAAGTTTGGCACTGCATTGATTCTCACTGCTTGTTTGAGCCCGCTGTCCGGCTTGTCTGCACCTGCTGCTTTCCCTTTCTGATCATCTTCCTGGCCCCCGCCCCCGCCCTGCTGGTGTGCAGGTTGTGTCCCCACACCCTCACCCCTCCATATAGGCCCCTCCACTCAGAAGAGGCCACAGCAGGTGAGAGGTGTTGGAGGGATCGATATCTAGGGTTGATCACCTGAGCCTCCTGTTGCCCAGGGGCACCCTTTCTGAGAGAGCTGACCGGGCTCAGGGGTACAGTGAGTAGCCAGGGGAGTAAGGACCATATCTGGCTGTGGCCGTGGCTTTGGCCACAAACATAACCCTTCCGCCTCCACGCCAAGGTCCACACCCACAGAGCCATGCAGTCACGCAAGGGTCTCACCCCTCCTGGTGGAGGAGCAACTTCCCTGAACTCTGGCTTACTTCCAGAAGCCATATGTACCTGTCACTCCAGCGTCCCTTCCATTCCGTTTGGCCCCAGGGGTTCCACAGGCGCATAATTTCTTCCCAGCCTCTCCTGTATTGAACCTGGGAAGACAGCAAAGGGGCAGTGGCAGCTCCTGGCAGGAGTTGGCAGAAAGCGGGCATAGAAATGCCGTGGCTATCATCATTTTCAAAACATTTACTTTCTACTTGATGGCAACCAAGGTACAAGTGTGCTTGACACAATGGATGGATGGATTGTGATAAGAGCTGTACGAGCCCCCAACAAAGTGATTTAAAAAATAAAAATAAATGCAGTGGCTGTTACCTCCAACAACGAACGTACCTCCTGACCTCATTTGGCTCGGGGAGAAATGAGAGAAATCAATATCTCTGGTGCATGCGAGAAGGAGGCAGTGGCCCCGCTCCCACTCAGCACCTCACCGGCAGCTTCAGCACCCAGCAGGCCTGGCATGCTAGCACTGGGTCAGCTGAGATGTCCTGGCAGGTGAACAAGGGCCAGGGGCTGCGAAGGATCCCTCTTTTGGGGTCCCAGCCTCTTCTGAGCCTGCCTGGCATCTCTGTTCCATAGACATCACCCATGTCCCTGCCAGTGCCTGTCTCACCCACCCCGGGATGCTGGGTTTGAGTCTCCGCAGTTCCACTGCCTGGGCAAGAAGGGTGAATCCCACACCGTGATCTCGCTGTGCATTCGGACTCCTGGTGGCCCCACCGGTGTCAGAATAGAACTCTGTTCGACAAGGTCCCGGTGGCTGAATTTGGGGAAGTGGACCTCTAGGCCTTTCTTCAGAGGCACCGCTCGGTGCCTTGAGCACTGGACGGTGGGCCTGACTCAGAGACATCCGAGTAGAAAGGTGGATTGGAGCCATCCTGGAGTGGGTGTCCAGACCTCCGAGGAAGC